TTGTCCATCTCTGGGGAGGCGATGGCCTAGTGGTATTATCACTGGACTATTAATCCACAGACCCAGATAATGTTCTGGGGACCCGGGTTCGAATCCCACCATGGCAGATGGTCGAATTTGAATTCAATAAAATATCTGGAATTAAGAATCTAATGATGAGCGTGAATCCATTTTCGATTGTCGGAAAAACCCATCTGGTTCACTAAGGTCCTTTAGGGAAAGAAACTGCCATCCTTACTTGGTCTGGCCTACATGTGACTCCAGACCCACAGCAATGTGGGTGACTCTTAACAGCCCTCTGGGCAATTAGGGGTGGGCAATAAATGCTGACCTGGCCAGTAATGCCCTCATCTCAAAAATGAATAAAGGTAAAGGATCTCCAAAGTTCTCCCAAACCTAAGAGATGTGATTGCATCCTCAAATCAAATCTCTGATTAATTCTCCTCCCTTGTCTGCGCAGTATCTGCAGCTGAGACACCAGCTCAGCAAATCTGAGCTGAAGTTGCTCGAGCTTCAGCTGCTTAACACAAATGTAGCTGTCCTAGACAGCAGCACATTCTACAAACATTTCCACATTTAATCTATGGTGCAGCACCTGCCCTGTCATGTTTGTCTCACCTTTTTTTTTATTTAGTTGCTATTACTTTCACTTGGCAGTTACTAACTTAACTAAGTAAGTTACAGCCTTCTAGAGATAGTAGGAACTGCAGATGCTGGAGAATCTGAGATAACAAGGTGTAGAGCTGGATGAACACAGCAGGCCGAGCAGGAAAGCTGACGTTTCGGATCGAGGATAGTAGGAACTGCAGATGCTGGAGAATCCGAGACAACAAGGTGTAGAGCTGGATGAACACAGCAGGCCGAGCAGAAAGGCTGACGTTTCGGGCCTAGAAATCTGATGAAGGGTCTAGGCCCGAAACATCAGCCTTTCTGCTCCTACGATGCTGCTTGGCCTGCTGTGTTCATCCAGCTCTGCACCTTGTTGTTTCGGGTCTAGACCCTTCTTCAGAAATGGTAGCCTTCAGGGTTGGGAGGCAAAGGGAAAAACATTTGACCGACCACTGATGATAACATTTAAAATAAATTACGACTCACACCAAATTCCTGACAGCACTTAGTTCCTGGAACGCTCTGTGAGGGAGCAACTATTGCGATTTTCAGCCCTTTTCTAAATTGTAACACCTTCTTGATAAGAGATTGTACAGGATTTTATCCCCCATCCCCTGCCACCTTAACTTTGCTTTGACCACAGAACAGTTAGTAACAATTATTAGGATAAACACAAGTATGGATCAAGTACAAATTGAAGGAACTGAAAGCAATATCTGTGACATGTATGTATTGCAGTGTATAGCTGCCTGCAATCAGTCTTGCTACCAGCCAGCCTCCCAATTATTGAGGGCTTTAGTCAGCCCTAACATTAAGTACAACAAGCACGCATATCTCTCCGGCTCAAAACACACAGTGCTTGAATACAGGAATTATATCAGGCGGTGTCAACAATGGCTGTGTCTGTAGCATTCTCGCTTTGACATCAGAGGGCTTGGGTTCAAATCTCCACTCAGACTTCAAAATGTTAGCCTGGATTATATTCTGAGGCACTACTGCACTGTCATCTTTAAGATGAAACGGAAGCCTCATCTGCCCCCTCAGATGTTTGTAAAGTATCCCATAAGGCTATTTTGATGAAAAAGGAGAGGAGTTAACCAGGTATCCATGTTAATATTTATTCCTTGGCCAGCATTACATTGGATAAACATAAGAACATAAGAAACAGGAGCAGGACTAGGCCATATGGCCCTTTGAACCCACTCCACCGTTCAATAAGATCATAGCTGATCTTCTCATGGCCTCAGCTCCACTTACCCACCCTCTCACCATAACCCTTAATTCCTTTACTATTCTAAAAACTACCTATCTTAGCTTTAAAAGCATTCAATGAGGAAGCCTCAACTATACCCTCACTGGGCAGGGAATTCCACGGATTCACAACCCTTTGGGTGAAGAAGTTCCTCCTCAATTCAGTACTAAATCTGGTCCCTCTAATTTTGAGGCTATGTCCTCTTATTCTAGTTTCCCTGCTTCTATCTTATCTGTTCCCTTCATAATTTTATATGTTTCTATAAGATCCCCCCCCACCCCATTCTTCTAAATTCCAGTGAATATAATCCCAGTTTATTCAGCCTCTCCTCATAAGCCAACCCTCCCAACTCTGGAATCAACCCAGTGAATCACCTCCGCACTCCCTCCAGTACCAGTACATCCTTTCTCGAGTAAGGAGACCAAAACTGTTTGCAGTACTCCAGGTGTGGCCTCACCAGCACCCTATTCGGTTGCAACATAACCACCCTGCTTTTAAACTCAATCCCTCTAGCAATGAAGGGCAAAATTCCATTTGCCTTCTTAATTACCTTTGTACCTGCAAACCAACGTTCTGCGATTCATAGGAAAAACAAATGATTTGTTCATGATCTTGTTGCTCTTTGTGGGATCCTGCTCTGCACAAATTAGTGCTGGTTTATTTCATTACAGAAGGTATTTTATTGACTGTAAGCTGATTTGAGGCATCCTGAGATTGTGGAAGGTACACTGTAAAATGCAAATATTTCTTTCCTGGGTAAAGGTTTCTGCATGTGATGGTGATTTCCTATGCCTTATACAAAAACAAAATTGTCAACAGGTTGTAGCAACTAATAAATAACCTTATGACATTGCTGTTTGTGGGAGCTTTTTGTCTGAAATTTGGTTTCCCTGCTTTATACATGACAGCAGTGACCATACTTCAGAGTACTTTATTGATGACAAAGCACTTTACAATATCATGTGGTCATGAAAAACACTGTATGAATGGATGCTTTTCTTTTATTCATTCTCTAATGATAGGTACTTAGTAGAACTATAATGGCTATAATAGAACTATAAATACAACATTAGCATCTTCAGACCGATAGCTTGTCATGGCAAAAATATGGGAAAGAACCTGCATCAGTGGTTATATCTTTCAAAAGTAATTAAAATGGTACTATATCTGCATTTTTCTTTTAGTTGTTATGAAACTGATGGAGGAACCTCCACATGTACAGTCTTCAAACTGGCATGAAGTGTACTATACCTATAACCCCCCCACACCAATATCTGAGTTTCTCTAGTTCTGACCTGTTGCAAAGCTCTGTTCTCCATCTGTACCATTGGAGACTGCCTTCAGTCAACTAGGGACTAAGCTCTTGAATTCCTTCTCTGAGCTTCTTCACTGCTTAAAATGTATCTCTTTGGTCGAGCTCTAGGTTGTCTTCTCAATACCTCCTCAAATTGATCTGAGAGAAAGTTGGGCTGGTAATGCCCCTGTGAAGCACCTTGGGATGTTTTATTACATTGTGTAGCACAAGTAGTTGCTTAGGACTTCCTGTTCTTACTGAGTAAATATTGAGATCAGTTGGCAAGATCTTTCATTCCTTCCATTGCCAAACTGAGATGATAATAAGCAGAAAATCGCACTTGTTGCTTTTCTACCACTGTCTTGATCCACTTTATCCACTGGTGACTAAACAAAATGCTGGTAATAGGGCAGCTAATTCATGTGAGAACCCCCAGAAACAGGGTATATGCATTTACCTCATTATTATCAGCAATTGGTAAATGGTAGTATTCTTGTCTCAGGGTTAAAAGGTCATGGCTTCAAGGCTCATCTGTGAATTCGGGCACATAATTCAAGCAGCCAATACCTGGGGAATACTACACTATTTTACAGATAAGTTGGTAAACCCCTTAAGAGGATGTAAAAGATTTCATAGAAATAAGTATGGAAGAGCAGTGGAGTTCTTAGTTGTGCCCTGCCCAACATTTGTCCCTCTATCGATATGACCAGTTAGCCACGCGAACAGACTGAACTGTTGTGTATTTCATTATTGTTTGTGTGATCTTAGAGTCATAGAGATATACAGCACGGAAACCAACCCTTCAGTCCAACTCGTCCATGCCAACCAGATATCCTACATAAATCTAGTCCCATTTGCCAGCATTTGGCCCATATCCCTCTAAACCCTTCCTATGCATATACCCATCCAGATGCCTTTTAAAAGTTGTAATTGTACCAGCCTCTCCACTTTCTCTGGCAGCTCATTCCATACACACACCATCCTCTGCACAATGTTACCTTTTAGGTCCCTTTTAAATCTTTCCCCTCTTACCTTAAACTTATGCCCTCTAGTTTTGGACTCCCACACCCTGGCAAAAAGACCTTTTCTATTTACCCTATTGATGTCCCTCATGATTTTATAAACCTCTATAAGGTCACCCTTCAGTCTGCGATGCTCCAGGGAAAATAGCCCCAGTCTATTCAGCATCTCCCTATAGCTCAAACCCTCCAACCCTGGCTTGCTGTTTGCAAATTGTGGTTTTTTTGAATGGTGTTGTACAGAGTCATTATCTCTCCTTCATGACAGTTGTGTTTGTATACATCATAATAGTGACTGCACTTCAAGAGTCTATTAGACATATTCTTGAGTATATTTTGTGCTACAAAATTCTTTGCTTCATTGGCCAGGATTCTTCTGTGGCTGTGCGTATGGCTGACTTGCAACTGAAGATCTCATGTCTTTGCTCAGTATTGACAGCTTTGGGAAAACATTTTGCCTGTGAAGTACTAAGTTTGATCATGGTTTATGAGACATTCCTCCTTCCTGAAAAATTAAACCAACTGACTATTTATAAACTCATGGAGAGCCAGAAATACCTGTAATGTGACTTCTGAGTAGTAATTTATGGAAATCTGATTATCTGTCAAGAATGAATGATTGTTCACCAAAAAGATGGAGTAGTTTAGTGTGTTTTTTTTTCCCTGATGAACTGCTAATGTCATATGGGCTCCCATGAAAGAGGAAACACATCCCATGTTCTGCAACTGGTGGGAAATGCCTGGGAGCGGGTCACCTACCAGCTAGTTGAAAAGAAAATGGGCCTGCACATTTGCTGCTTTTAACTGAGCTGTTTTATCCTCCCAGACGCGAAAGAAGTATCCGCTGGAAATCCCAGCACAGACACCAGACTCTAGAAAGGACAGCAGCAAAGTGAAAACTGAAGAGTGTGAAGAAAGCAAAGGAAATCAAATCAATAATGTGAAAGACATTTCCAGATGTAAAACTGAAGAGTTAAAGACAGAAAAATTGGAAGATAAAGGAAAACATGGGTGAGTATTTGATAATTTAACATTACAGCCTCACGCTCAATTGCTTGTCCTAGTAAAGTTGCATAATCAATTGATGTAAATCTGATGTGTTTAAATCATGGGAAGACACATCAGCTGAATTTGTTAAAGGAGTCCAATTTGATTGGCCTGGGACAGGAATGTAATGTTGAAAATGTTCCTCCGCAGCTTGCAACAAATGGAATAGGATGCAAAGTTGTAGTCACCATCAACATAAGCTTTACTTTTCAGTTACAGCCTTTTAGAAAGGCCTTTGTAATGGGCATGATGAACCATGCTTCTATCAGGCACTAATACTCCTGCCAGTTAGAAGGCAGTAAACAAGTAGGCAGACTTCAGTAAGAATTGTATGTGTGTTTACTATTAGAAATGAATCAAGTGATAGAGGGAGGTAGAGAAAGATACAAGGGAGATAGAGACAGATGGTGCAGAGAGACAGAGAGGTAGATATACATAGATATAGATGTGTGTTTGTGTCCATTTATAATTATATAGATAGATCTCTCCACCAAACATATCTATGAGGAGGTGGGACATGGTTAGAGAGAGAGTGAGCAACAGAGTTTTTCTCACTGCTTAACCAGACTAGCTGATCACTGACTAATGAAGAAGGTAGTTCCAGTATCTTTTTGATATTTTTTTCGAACAGTCTGCATTGTGGCAGTGATAAAAATCGATAGATTGTGACTGGTTTCTTAGAGTTTGAAGGCAGCACAATGAAGTAGTCAACTCTGTATAGTAACACCACGTAGGAATAATTAAGTTTGAATTTAGAAAAAAACACTGGAGACAGCAAAATCAGGATAGTAAGTAAATCAGCACAGATAACTACTAAAATTCGAGACTGGAATCTCAGCACAGGAATAGCTAATAACACAGTGAGGTTGGGTATAAGATGTTATCATTTGGTGTATTTTGGTCTTGAGAGGTTTGAGAGTCATTTGACATAAAACTTGCCACGATGTTTGTCCTGACTTTATTGAATGGGTTGTGAATTAAACCAAATGTGAGGACCGACTTGGTCACATTTAATTTAGCTTTAGGCAGTATTGTTACTTCCTATCCTTCCGTCAATTAAAGTGCAAACAAGACTTAGTTCTAATTATACGGATGATTACTTTAATCAGAAGCTCATTTTAAACTCCCTTTAGGATGCATGTTGCACTGTAGACCTGTTTGTATTTCTGTTGTACTCCAGGCATGTAGAGAAGACATCTTATAGCGTATTACAGGGCAGGGAAAAGAAAGGAAGAGAAAGAGGAAGAAATAGAGAATAGAGTAAAGGATAGGCTCTACCAAAAGGCAGAAAATTTCTTTTCCTTTTTTTAATATAACCTATTTTTGTAATGAACCTGTTCAGATGTTATTACACACCGTTGGTACAGGTGCAACTTGAACCCAGGCCTCCCTGTCTAGGAAGGCTCCACTACTCCACAAGAGGGCCCTAAATATGGTCACTGCATGAATTTGCACGTCATCCATGCTAATCTACTCTATATTGTTCCAATTTTAGTATCATTCAGGCTTTTCACCGGGAGTTACATTAGTAGAATAGCACCTGCACTCAGGTTCTGAGTATTATGTTGTAAAGGATGCTAGGTTACTTGTGAAATTCTCCTTGCATCTTGCATCTGTAAGTTTTAGAGTTTGCCAGCCCAATAGGGATGACCTTGAAGGTATGGAGGAGAATGCAGGGCCTGTCTTCATGACATTTTACCAGCAATGGGGAGGTTGCTCTCCCACCCAGAATTCAGGTGTGTCACTCAAGTAGCCAAAAAAGGGGCTCCATCTTATACCGCTGGCATTTGGGCAGCAGTAGGTAGACTGCTTGGAGAGCCACGATGGCCTCCCTGTGGGCTCGGGACGGTTCGCCTCATTAGGTACCATGGCCCACAGACAACAATGACTGCCCTAGTGGCAACACTCCATCCTTTTCCCTCACTAATCTCCACCCTCACTCCTCACCAGAGCATGCCTGATTGCTCTGGTGACCCCCAAATCCCTCATCTTGCTGTCAGAGTGGCGTCCAGCTCTGCAGCTCTCAGATGGATGCAGTCCCGGCAGTGGTCACCACTTCTGATGGTGCTGTTAATAGGAAAGGGCTGCCTTCCCTCTGACTGGGAACTCCTAAGGATGGGCTCCTTTTTTTTATTGGATGGAAGCCCCAAGGACAGCTCATAAATTGTTGGATGGGCCTAAAATACGGCTGAAAATCTTTCATGTTGCCTGTGATTTCTGGATTATCATCATAATTGTCAAAATTCAGCGTGTAATGTTTAATGCCATGTTTATCTGCATATTCATCAAATTGTTGATTCTGTCTGATCTGAGTGCTCTGACTTTAAGCTGTGATTGTCAGTGTGCCATCAATGCTATGACAAGTCTTTACTGAACCTTCAAGACCACAAAATAGTTCAATAGGACAAACCAATAAATTAAAAATAAAAGTGCATTTCAGATTAAGTTACCTGGTATTACAGGGTGTAATAGACATTCTCACAGGCTTGCTGGGGTATGAGATAGTGTTCGGGATCTCACCTTGTTCACTGTGTCTACTTTGTGTCTTGGATCCACTTATCTCAGCAACTCAAATAAAATAAATTTCAAGTTTTCACCAATCCTTTGTGGACTTTCCAGTGATTCCAATACCTAAATATTTGTGAAAGATCCAAATCTTGCAACAAAGAGTTCATGAAGTGTAATCATTGTATTCTCACATTCTCAGAAGCAGGGGATTTTCTGACTCTCCCATTTGGTTACATCCTGGAGAGATATGATTTTGGAGCTCAGCTGATTGTGCCACTGCACACTAAGCTAGATAGAAATTAAAAACATTACATGAAATCACTTTCTAAACTGCATTTTTAAAATATTGCAACATTTAAGTATTAAAATTATACGCAGCTAGTTATTAGTTTTTTTATGCTCTTTGGGTCGATTTTGAGCACAAGTTCTAATGTTTGCATTGTACTTAAAAGGGCAAGTGTTCAGGGTATCCTGAGTTTTGGCAGAGAATCAAGTATGACAATATGATGCAGCACGAAATAACTGTGATCAATATTATTGCAAATATGAAGTATAACAAAAGGAAATTGTTAATATTGTTCTTAAAACATACCAATATTTTTCATTTATCTGGGGTTAGAGACGAAAGCAGTAAAGAGGATGAGGAAGATGAAGAGGATGAGGAAAATGAAGAGGAGGAAGATGTTGATGATGATGAAGACAGGGAAGAGGAGGAGGAAGAATTTGAGTGCTATCCAGCAGGAATGAAAGTTCAAGTCAGATATGGTCGAGGAAGAAACCAAAAGCTGTATGAAGCCAGCATTAAAGATTGTGATGTGGAGGGTGGAATAGTCCTATACCTGGTGCACTACTGTGGCTGGAACGTTAGGTGAGTTAAAAGTTAGAAACAACTGTTCAAGGGGAATGTCATGCAAATGAAGTCATTGCATTGTATGGTCTCTTGTGCTTCTGTCACCTCTAGTAACTCATGTTAACCTTTTAGATGATTTTCTTAGATGATTCTCTCCCTCTCCCTCCCCTTTCTCTCTCTCTCCCCCTCCCCTTTCTCTCTCTCTCTCCCCCTCCCCTTTCTCGCTCGCTCTCCCCGCCCCGTCTCTCCCCGCCCCCTCTCTCGCTCGCCCTCTGTCTCTCTCTCTCCGCCACCCTCTCTCACTCGCTCTCTCTCGCCACCCTCTCTCACTCGCGCTTTTTCGCCACTCTCTCTCTCTCACTCCCTCTCTCTCGCCACTCTCTCACTCCCTCTCTCTCGCCACTCTCTCGCTCCCTCTCTCTCGCCACTCTCTCGCTCGCTCTCTCTCGCCACCCTCTCTCGCTTGCTCTCTCTCGCCACCCTCTCTCGGGCGCTCTCTCTCGCGCTGTCTCTCTCTCTCACCCCCCACTCCCCTCTCTCGCCATTCTCTCTCCTCTCTCTCTCTCTCTACTCTCGCTCGGTCTCTCTCTGCTCTCTCTACTCTCTCTCTCTCTACTCTCTCTCGCTCTCTCTCGCCTCTCTCTCTCTTCTCTCTCTCTATCTACTCTCTCTCTCGCCACCCTCTCTCTCTCTCTCTCGCCACCCTCTCTCTACCCCTCTCCTCCCCCTCCTCTCTCTCTCTCTCTCTCGCTCGCTCTCACTTGCCACCCTCTCTCGCTCCCTCTTTCTCACCACCCTCTCTCGCTCCCTTTTTCTCACCACCCTCTCTCGCTCGCTCTCTCTCGCCACCCTCCCGCTGTCTCTCTCTCTCCCCCCCTCTCTCTCGCCACCCTGTCACTACTCTCTCTCTCTTCTCTCTCGCCACCCTCTCTCTCTCCTGCCACTCTCTCTCCCTCTCGCCGCCTCCCTCTCTCCCTCTCGCCGCCACCCTCTCTCCTTCTCGCCGCCACCCCCTCCCTCTCTCTCGCCAGCCCCTCTCTCTCTCTCTCGCCTCCCCCTCTCCTCCCCCTCCTCTCGCGCTCTCTCTCTCGCCCTCTCTCGCCACCCTCTCTCGCTCGCTCTCTCTCGCCACCCTCTCTCTCGCCACCCTCTCTCGTTCTCTCTCCCCCCCCCTCGCCACCCTGTCACTACTCTCTCTCTCCTCTCTCTCTCACCACCCTCTCTCCCTCTCGCCACCACCCTCTCTCCCTCTCGCCGCCACCCTCTCTCCCTCTCGCCACCCCCTCTGCTCTGCTTTGCTCTGCTCTGCTCTTTTCTTTCTCTCTCTCTCTCTCTCTCTCTCTCTGTCTCTTCTCTCTCTCTCTTCTCTCTCTCTTGTTCTTTTGTTCTTTCTTTCATTCCTTCTTTTCACTCTCCCTCTTTTTCTTGGTCCCCCTCTTGCTCACCCCCACCTTGCCTGCCCTACCCCTTTCTCACTCGCCCCTAACCCCCTATTCTTGCTTCCCCCTGCCCCCACTTTCTCTCCCACTCCCAGTTGGTGTAAATCTTTTGAACGTCTTTAAGTAATTGATATTTTGCATTTTTTTACAGTAAAAAAAAGAGAGAAGCTCCAATGCTGGTAGCCTCATTAAGTATTATACTTCCTGTGCTGAAAATTGACCATATGAATTAGCTGTAGCACTTTAATTCTGATTGTCTGATTCACAATCCACTGCTGTCAATTTGACGTATTAGTTCAGCATTTGGTTTTAACAGCGTGCTTCCATTTCTTGAGGGAGGGGCAAGAGGATAGATAGGACAATAGAAACATTGGTTCATTGGACATACAATGAGAGGTACAGATCATTGAACAGCAACAACTTATATTTAATGCAGAAACTTTAACATAGCCCTGAGGTACAGAAGGAGATGTTAAGGCAATGAACCCAAGGCCCTTCTGAGAGGTTTAAAAAGATTCTTAAAGGTGGCGACATTTAGTGGGCAGTTTCGGCTCTCTAGGTCCCCTTGGATCCCTTAGGGTCTGGATAGCTGAAAATATGGCCATGAGTGGTAGGGCAATGAAGTTTGGACTATGCAAAAGGGCAGAATTGGAGGACTGCAGAGGTCAATATTCTGTGATTCTATTTACCAGTAAACTGAAGCATAAATGGGAATGGAAGACAGGAGAGTCTAACCCTGGGCATGCTTTAGTGGGCATACTGAATGCTTGTTACATTTAGCTTGGATTCTTAGTGCTAATGCAGCTATCATTTGGATCTATTTTGGGGAACTTGTGGTAATCAATGATAGACTTCCTGTTAGAGCATTCTTTTTTCAACCTTGAAGGTCTAAATACGTTAACACCGTGTACTGCAACTGTCTATGTATAATTTTCCCCATTCATTGTAACATGAATCATTTTAGTGTTTTACAAGTACCAGTATTTCTTCATGTGGAGATATTTAAAAGGGACCAAGGAGGGAACTTTTTCACGCAGAGGGTGGGGCATGTATGGAATGAATTGCCAGAGGAAATGGTGGAGGCTGATACAATTACAACATAGGTATAAGAATAGGAAGAGTTTGGGGATATGGGCCAAATGCTGGCAGATGGGACTAGATTAATTTCGGATATCTGGTTGGCATGGACGAGTTGGACCAAAGGGTCTGCTTCCGTATTTGTACACCTTTATGACTCTGAATTTCCAGGAGCAGCAGTTACAGCTGTAGTCACAATTGGGCACCAAGTTGTCAACACAGTACTCTACAGATAAGGCTTGTAAAATATTTTTCAAATATATAAATGACTGTCCTTCCTTCATGAAACAAAATGATAAAGTCCATTCAATTTTATTACTCTTGACTCTATTTGCAAACTAAAAATAGATCAGTGGATTTAAACCATGTTGTGTACATGATATTCCCTCATTTCTTGAGCAAAAACATGCTTTTGTAGAATGGCATAAGCATAATTAAACATGCCATGGATATTTGCAGCTGCACATAGCAAAATTTGATACCAGGTCAGAAAAGGTGTTAGAAATGATGACCAAAATCTTGGCCAAAGATGTGGGTTAAGAAGAATTTTAAAAGAGAACAAGGAGCCATAGAGGTGGAGAAAGAGGAAATTCCACTGCCCAAGCAGCTGAATGCACAGTTGCCAATAATGAAACTGTGAAAGTCAGGGATATGTAAGAGACCAAAACTAGAGGATGATGAAGATCTCAATGCATTGTAGGATTGAAAGAGGTTACGGAGTGGAGGAGGGGTAAGACCGTGGAAAACTTTGAAAATGAGGATAAGAACTTTAATATCAAGGTACGGCAGACTAAGAATCGAGTAGGTTGGTGAGCACAGGCCTCTGCAAATTGGAAGATGGGCAGCAGATTTGTAATCAGCTCAAGTTTGCAGGGAATGCATGATGGAAGGACAGCCTCCCGCAATATTTGGAGATGCCTGAGCTATGCTAAGGTTTGGCTGTAAAGACATAATGTGGGGAACAGTAGGCGTAAAACAACATATTATTTTCCCCAAACAAATATGAGTGCAAACTTTGCTCAGTTACCAATCTGAAATGTGATATTTGGAGACTGCAGTGAGGGAAAGGTCAAAACAGTAGCATCTCATGCTGATGCGCTATTAGAAATTAACCTAAGAACAGGCTTCAAGCTGTTTGTTACAGCAAAGGCAAGTATGAAGGTAAATCATCTTGTGAAAAATAATTGGAGAGGGCTGAAGGATAGAAATCCAGTTATCTTGGTTAAATTTAAAAATCTTCAAAGTTATTTCAAAATGCAACAGATTTTCCTAAACCTCCCCAATTTTACTGAGTTCTTGTAATCGTCAATGGAATACACTGTGTTTGTATGAAGAGATAATGGAGAATGCTTTGTTGCAGCTACTTGATTATCAGCTGAATCGACTACTTGTACCAATTCTGGTACACTCTGTTTTGTTGTCCCCTTGATAGTTATTGAAGCATTGTTTTTCAAGTCTACTAAAATTATACAAATGTTATAACAGGAAATAAAAGCCATTTTCAGCAGCATTCCAGTTACTACCTGAGCCATTTCATTAATGATATGGCTGTGTTTTTCATACCACTTAAACTGCTTTATAAAACAAGTGGTCCATTCTTACCAGTTGTAATAATACTTTCCAAAGTTTTACTTGCAATTTTTGGCTTTGATAGGCCCCTGGATTTTGAAAACGTTGTGCTTGGTTTTCTGTGTCAAAATGTCACTGTTTGGTATGACCACACTGTTGTCAATGAACTTTGTTTTATTAACAGCTTTTCAATGTTTGCTCTAACCTGTTGCACATTTGAAGTGCAGCATCTAGTAGTTTTTAATTAGGTAGAAGTCTTCTGCCTTCCAAAATGTAATTAGCTAATTTTGTAAAGCAATGATGGCTCTTTGAGGTAAATACAACTAACTTTCATTTCCTACAAGGAGCACACAGTGAAGTTGTGATTACAGTATGAATGTTCAAGCACAACTGTTTGGAAGTTCTGAATGTACTGCTCATGTTTGCTTGTAATCTGCGCTGTCTTTCTAACATGACTGAATTTTGTTTTTGTCTGACAGGTACGATGAATGGATTAAGGCAGACAAAATAGTGCGACCTGCAGACAAAAATGTCCCAAAAATTAAACACAGAAAGAAAATAAAGGTAAGCACAATAGCATGCGGCCATTCTAAATTCATTCTGTAATGGCTAAGGTTACCATGAAGGACTCTCCTTCCCAACCCTTGAATTAAATCACCACCAATTTTCTATCTTTGATGAGAGAGCAGCCCTACGGTCCGGTGGGAATATGGTGACTTTACCTGTAACTGATAAAATAAAATACTAATTAAGCAGTGCGAGTATCTTGCAATAAAGAAATACTTTGTAGAGAGCAATAGATTTTTTGAGTATGAAGGGAATTGAGGGATATGGTGAAAATGGAGATGAGATATAAAATCAACCATGATCTCATTGAATGGCCTACTTCTTCTATCTGTTATTGTCATAAAGAGACAAACAACAATAGCAAAGGCCCTTGTGTCTTATAAAGAATTTCTACATCAGAATCTCAATTCTGTGGAATTGTAGCAAGGCTGGTGCCCTGGATTTTAAAATAATATAGAAATTACAATTTGAAAACATACTATTCAGCCTAACTTGTCTGTGTTTAAATCTATTCTCTACGTGCGCAGTTGTTATAATCCCACATGCCTTTTTGACCCATATTCCTTTATTCCTCTTCCGTTCAACATGACATGGTTTCTGCTTCAATCATTAAATATGATACTGCAATCCACAGCCTGCAACCTCTGTGTACAAAGGGGAAATTTCTGCTCTTTGTCCTTACAAGTATGTTCTATTCCTAGAGCCCCCCCCTCACCCTCAACATAAAGAAACAGTCTGATCCCTTCATAATTTTAAACACGTTTTTGAATAATCTTTTAACTTCCTCTGTTCTGAGCAAAAAGTACCAATTTTTCATGATTTAAGTGTTTGCATTTGGCATTGGTAAACTCGACCCATTACTAATGTTCTCTGTACTAGCTCAACATTTTTCATGTTGTGTAAAGCCCAAACTAAAATTGATAGATATATAAATTATTCTCCTTGATTTTCACCTGAGCACCATAAGACATAGGAGCAGAAATTAGGCCATTTGGCCCATCGTGTCTGCTCTGCCATTCAGTCATGGCTGATAAGTTCCTCAACCCTATTCTCCCACTTTCTCCCTGTAACCTTTGGTCCCCTTGACAATCGAAAACCTATCTATCTCTTTCGTAAATGTACTCAATGACCTGGCCTCCACAGCCTTCTGAGGCAGTGAATTCCATAGATTCAGCAATCTCTGGCTGAAGAAGTTTCTCCTTATCTCCGTTCTGAAAGGTCTTCCCTTCACTCTAAGGCTGTGCCCTCGGGTTGGAGTCTTTCCTGCCAATGGAAACATCTTCACAACGTCACGCTATCCAGGCCTTTCAGTATTTTGTAAGTTTCAATTAGATTCCCTCCTCATCTTTCTAAACTCCAATGAGTATAGTCCCAGAGCTTTTTTTTATTCATTCATGGGATGAGGACGTTGCTGGCTAGGCCAGCATTTATTGCCCGTCCCTAATTGACCAGGGGGCAGTTATGAGTCAACCACATTACTGTGGAGTCACATGTAGGCCAGACTGGGAAAGGATGGCAGTTTCCTTCCCTCATTAATGAGCCAGATGGGTTTTTCCCAACAGTCGACAATAGACTCATGGTCATCATTAGACTCTTAATTCCGGCTACTTTTATTGAATTCATATTCCACCAGCTGCCGTGGCAGGATTCGAACCCAGGTCCCCAGAACATTACCCGGGTCTCTGGATTAACAGTCCAGCGATAATACCGCTAGGCCATTGCCTCCCCGTGGACAAATCAATGGCTGATGCAGTATAATTTGGATAAATGTGAGGTTATTCACTTTGGAAGCAAAAACAAGAGAGTGGATTACTACCTGAATGGCTGTAAATTTGGAGAGGGGAGTGTGCAGCACAATCTGGGCATCCTTGTGCACCTGTCGCTGAAGGTAAACATGCAGGTGCAGCACACAGTAAAGAAGGCAAATGGTATGTTGGCCTTCATTGCAAGAAGTTTTGAATACAGGAGCAGGGATGTGTTGTTATACAGGGCCTTGGTGAGAGCACACCTATTGGTTTCCTTTTCTGAGGATGGATGCCCTTGCTGTTCAGGGCGTGCAGAAAAGGTTTACCAGGCTGACTCTGGGGATGGCGGGACTGACATATGAGGATAGATTGACTAGGCTAAGATTGTTTGAGTTCATACAAATGAAGTGGGAGGGGATCTCATAGAGACTTATAGAATTCTAACAAGACTGGACAGGGTAGATGCAGGGTGGATATTCCTGATGGTGGGTGTGTCCAGAACCAGGAGTCACAGTCTGAGGATTCGGGTTAGACCATTTAGGACGGAGATGAGGAGACATTTCTTCATCCAAAGAATGGCGAGCCTGTGGAATTCATTACCACAGGAAGTAGTTGATGCCAAAACATTGAATATATTCAAGAGGTGACTAGATACAGCACTTGGGGCGAATTAGATCAAAGGTTATGGGGAGAAAGCAGGATTAGGCTACTGAGTTGAAACAATCAGCCATGATCGTGATGAATGGTGAAGCAGGTTCAAAGGCCTGAATGGCCTCCTCATGCTCCTATCTCTATGTTTCTATGTTTTATAAAACCTCAGAAGTACTTCCCTACTTTTATACTCTAGTCCTCTCAAAATAAATGCCAACATTGTATTTGCCTTCCTAACTACCAACTCAACCTGCAAGTTTACCTTAAGAGAATCCTGGACAAGGACTCCTAAGTCCCTTTGCACTTCAGATTTCTGAATTTTCTCCCTCTTTAGGAAATAGTCTTCATATGCTTCCCAATCCTGTGGCTTCCTGTGGCCCTTCGCTGCATTATATGCTTTCTCTTTTGCTTTTATGCTGTCTCAGACTACCCTTGTGAACCATGATTGCCTCATCTTCCCTTTAGTATGTTTCTTTTACCTAGGGATGAATTTTTGATGTGTCTCCCGAATTCCTCCAAGAAACTCCTGCCATTGCTGTTCCACTGTCTTTCCTGCTAGGCTCCTCTTCCAGTCAATTCTGGTCAGCTCCTCCCTCATGCCTCTGTAGTTGCCTTTATTCAACTGTAATACCTTCTCCTCAAATTGCAGTGTAAATTCTATCATATTATGATAGGCGATGGCAGATTTGTTGAAGTGACCAATTTTGATGCCAGAATCTTGCTTGGGAGACATTTAATCATGGGGACAAAAGGACCATACAGAACCCCATCTACAGCTCAGTTAATGTGCAGCATGAGCATTTTCCAGTGTGGCTCACTAGATAAATAGAAATAACTTGGCTTTATACAGGTCCATTCAAAACAATAGGACATCTCAAAGTGCTTTACCGCCATTAAAGTCCTTTTCAAATGCAATCACAGTTGTAATACAACCGTCTATTTGCACACAGCAAGATCCCGCAACTAGCAGTATGAACAGATAACCTGGTTTAAGTGATAGTGATCAATGTTAACCCAGGATATTGGACAGAACAAATCTGTTACATTGACCAAAAGAGGCAGTTGGGGCTTGATGTAACATCTCACCCAAAAGGCTAACTTAGAAACATAGAAAATAGGAGAAATGCTAGACCATTCAGCCCCTTGAGTGTGCTTTACCATTCACTACGATGATCCCAACTCAGTATCTGTTCCTGCTTTCTCCCTCTCGCCTTTGATCTTTTTGGCCCAAAGAACTATTATCTAACCCATTTTTGAAAGCATTCAATGTTTTCACCTCACCGCAGAGAATTCCACAGGCTCACCACTCTCTGGGTGAAGAAATTTCTCCTCATCTTTGTCCTAAATGGCCTACCCTGTATCAAAGAACAAAGAATAGTACAGCACAGGAACAGGCATTTTGGCCCCCCAAGTCTGCACCTACACATGACATCTTTCTAAACTATTTTACCTTAAATCTGTGTCCCCTAGTAATTGACCTTTTTACCCTGGGAGAAATACTCTGACTGTCCACACTTCTCATAATTTTGTAAATTTCTGTCAAGCCTTGCCTCAGCCTCTGATGTTCAAGTGAAAACAAACCAAATTTGTCTCCACTACAAACCCACTGACTCCCACAGCTACCTGGACTATACATCCTCACACCCCACTTCCTGTAAAGACTCTATCCCATTTTCTCAGTTCCTCCGTCTCCGTCGCATATGTTCAGATGAGGCCAAATTCGACAAGGGAGCCTCCGAAGTGTCCACATTCTTCCTCAACCGAGGATTCCCCAGCTCCGTTGTCGACAGGGCCCTCAAGCGGGTCCAACCCATCTCCCGCACTTCTGCCCTCACCCCTTCTCTTCCATCCCGCAACAGCGATAGGGTTCCCCTTATCCTCACCTACCATCCCACCAGCATCCACATCCAGAAGATCATCAGACACCATTTCCGCCACCTCCAGCAAGATACCACCACCAGACACACATTCCCCTCCCCTCCCTTGTCCGTCTTCGCCAGGGACCGTTCCCTCCGGGGCACCCTGGTCCACACTTCCTTCACCCTCAACACCTCCCCACAGCCCTACGGCACCTTCCCCTCTAACCGGCGAAGGTGCAACACCTGCCCATTTACCTCCTCCCTCCCCACTATCCAAGGGCCCAAAAATACCTTCCAGGTGAAGCAACACTTCACCTGAACTTACAAGAATCTAGTCTACTGCTTTCGCTGCTCACAATGTGGTCTCCTCTACTTTGGGGAAACGAAGCGTAGACTTGGCGACCACTTCGCAGAACATTTACATTCTGCTCGCAAAAAAGACCCTGAACTACCTCCCACCCAGGCCTCCAACCTCATCGTTCCCCAACCCCGCACCGCCCGCTTCTATCTCCTTCCCAAAATCCACAAACCTGAATGCCCTGGTCGACCCATTGTCTCCGCCTGCTCCTGCCCCACCGAACTTATCTCCAACTATCTGGACTCCATTTTCTCCCCCTTGGTCCAGGAACTCCCTACCTATGTCCGTGACACCACCCACGCCCTCCACCTCTTCCAGAACGTCCAATTCCCCGGTCCCCAACACCTCATCTTTACCATGGACGTCCACTCCCTACACACCTGC